GACGTATGCTTTATACGATAAGCATACTCTAGGCACACTTTGAATATGCTAGAGGTATACGCCAGATGTACGGTACTCATACGCTGGCATTTCAAAGGATTTTTGTGCGTATGAAAATTATTTCATTAATTTTCATACGCTTCTCATACGTTTTTCTCATACGCAATAGTGTGACAGGACCTTTACGTAACCTTACCGACATACTTTTACCATCTTTATTCGCTTAAGGCCCTGTCACACTATTGCGTATGAGAGAAACGTATGAGAAGCGTATGAAAATTAATGAAATAATTTTCATACGCACAACAATCCTTTGAAATGCCAGCGTATGAGTACCGTACACCTGGCGTAGCTCTAGCGTATTTAGCGTGTGCCTAGAGTATGCTTATCATATAAAGCATACGTCCAATACGCACAAAATTTTTGAACATACTTAAAAAAAATGTTCTGCCTCGCCGTATGCCAGCGTATGCACCGTACGCGACCGTGCTTGAAACGTATACAACCTATGCCTAACGTACCCCTAGCGTATGTCAGCGTATACCGGCGTATGAGTGCTATATTTCATACGCTGGCATACGCTAGTAAGATACGCAATAGTGTGACAGGGCCTTTACCTCGCCTAACCTTACCTTACCGTTTGCCTTATCCAACCTTGTCTTGCACTCTCCAATTAAACACTTTGCCTTTGGTACTGTACGTTATCCATCATGTGGACAAAAGTTACTTATTTAACCAGTTGCTTCACCTTAAGTTACCTTAATTTAGATACAATCGATTATTCTCCCTAGATGTGGCAGCGTCTATCCAGGGTAGCATAACGATTAGTAATCGTGAATACAAACCAGAGTATGACAACACAAACAGCCGGGAATATTATGATATTACAGAAGAAATCATCATTGCGGTATGGACATCTTAATTTTTCAGTCTTGTAGTTTTATTATTATTATTATTATTATTATTATTATTATTATTATTATTATTATTATTATTACCTCCGCCAGGAGGTTATGTAATCATCTGGGTTTGTATGTGTGTGTGTGTGTATGTGTGTGTGTGTGTGTATGTGTGTGTATGTGTGTGTGTATGTGTGTGTGTTTGTCTGTGAGCACGATAACTCAAGAAATACCAAACATATCCGTACGAAATTTTTTGAATGCATTTCCCATCGGCTAAGGAAGAACTGATTAAAATTTGGTTGAATTTGGTTAAAAATTGAACGAGAAATGAACAAAATTTTGTCTTGCTTTTCCCGGTCAATTAACAAAAAATATTACTGAATGCGTAATTAGGACGTGTATAATTTATGCACTCAGTGCTAAGACAATAATGAGATGATAAACCTCATTAAGCTTCGGCCTTCATTATCTATTGTCTTAGTTGCATTTCACGCGACCGAAATTCAATGTCTAAAACAAGGCTTACGGAGTTACGCATTATTACGTTCAGCAAAGTGCCAGTCCATTCAAATTCTAACAACATTAGATTACTTCAATACAGGGTGTATAAAAAGAACGCAACCTCGGAATTTCCCAAGAAATCGACATTGTTTTAAAGACAAAAGATTTTAGCTGCCTGGGAATTTAAAATAGCACAACTGTGAAAATTACTGCACGCGCGAGTGCATAAAGCAAAATTTATGTATTTATTTAATGACACTTAATAAGTTTTTATTTTACAAGTACTGTACAGTACAACAACAGTAATATGTTCTATTAGCAATTCGATTTCAATTCGCGGGGGCCTGAAATCTTTTATGCTTAAGAATTATAAAGTGGATTTCTTAGGAAATTCCAAGGTTGCGTTTCACTTCCGAGTAACGGGCGGAGGTATGCAGTCTCTGAGTGCCCTCTAGTTATTATTATTATTATTATTATTATTATTGAGACAGCTAGGTAAAAATTTTAACCAAGTTAAATTTATAAATCTCTCCATCAGCTCTTTAGGTATTTTTGCAGAAGAATGTTATACATTTTTAGACATGTTAGAAAGTATTGGTCTTGACAAAAACCACCAAATGTACTGCGTTAGGAAAATGATGACTATTGCTATTAGAACTACATATTAAATTTTTTGCTGCCGAAATAAGGAATGGGAAAATCCGGATTTACTAACAATTTGACTTATCTCATTGTATATATATATATATATTGCATGCACTTTGTTCTGTTATTTTAGTTTAGTATAATTGTGATTTAAATAGCCAACCGTAAGTTACCTTTATGAGAGAGATTTACGATTGTATATGTATGTAAAGAAAAAAATTTAATAAAGTTTCCATTATTATTATTATTATTATTATTATTATTATTATTATTATAATTATTATTATCTTGCTCATCAGTTACAAACTGTTGACGGTTCTACTCTCTACGCTGATCTAAATGGATTCAAAAGCCCTTCAATACTTACTGGTGATACGTATCGCCCAGATTTGTTATTATCGTGCTCAAATGGTTCCTTATATGTGGTTGAACTCACCACTGGTTATGAGACAAACCTCAAAAACAACGTAAAACGGAAGAAGGATAAATATAGAGAATTATTGAGACAGCTAGGTAAAAATTTTAACAAAGTTAAATTTATAAATCTCTCCATCAGCTCTTTAGGTATTTTTGCAGAAGAATGTTATACATTTTTAGACATGTTAGATAGTATTGGTCTTGACAAAAACCACCAAATGTACTGTGTTAGGAAAATGATGACTATTGCTATTAGAACTACATATTACATTTTCTGTTGCCGAAATAAGGAATGGGAAAATCCGGATTTACTAACAATTTGACTTATCTCATTGTATATATATATATATATATATATATTGCATGCACTTTGTTCTGTTATTTTAGTTTAGTATAATTGTGATTCAAATAGCCAACCGTAAGTTACATTTATGAGAGAGATTTACGATTGTATATGTATGTAAAGAAAAACATTTAATAAAGTTTCCATTATTATTATTATTATTATTATTATTATTATTATTATTATTATTATTATTATTATTATTATTATTATTATTATTATTATTATTATTATTATTATTACTATTATTATTTTTATTATTAGCATGACAAAATTACTGGATGCTGATTTGTTGAGAGGAGTACAATTATTTCATTAATTGTACTGCAGTACAATTAATTATTTTTTCAAAACAAACAAAATGGCGGAAAGGTATTTTAAACACAAGCGTAAAATGAAATTGCCATAGGGGAACTAGATGAAAATACGAACAAAAGCACCACATTTTGCTTTAACAAAAGAACTAAATGAAAATACGGACAAAAGCACCAAATTTTGGCAGGACTTGAATTTTGGCGAGAGAATATATGATGTTAACATTGAGAAGTATCCAATTTTGTCATGCTAATATTAAACAACTCGTCCAATTTTGGCAAAATTTCCAAACATCACTCGTACTATTAATCCCTAATTGTACTCGCCATCGCATGATTACCTATACTTATTATTATTATTATTATTATTATTATTATTATTATTATTATTATTATTATTATTATTATTATTATTATTATTATTATTATTATTATTATTATTCATGTTTAAGAATATTCACCATCGCATAAATTTGAATTGCGGTGAATTGCGGTGTAGAAACCAAAAGCAACACATTGTATAATACAACATTTCCACATGCATGTGTAGCTTAATTAGCACTGCCGCGACATTGTGTAGTTACTAATGAAGTGCGTACAAGAAAAACTGCAGCACAGTAACCGTGAACCGACTGAAAAGTTTTATTTCTGAAATCGTAAACTGACATTTGGATAGCTTGTTTTATTTGGTTAGAACATTTATACTAAAACAATCGTTCGCCTCAGGTTCAGTGATTGTCGGTGAATATTCACCTCGACTTGCTTTCGGCAAATAATTGTTAAATAATAATGGTGTTCCATCTTCTAGTTGGAGATAGCTTTCAGACGTACGCGGTTTGCAGCTATCTTTGTCAGAATCATTATTACAAGAATATAGTAAGTGATTATTTTTTATGTGTCTAGTTATGGTTTTCAGTGTAGAGGACGAAAAGCAAGTTACTAATGTACTCTGTAGATTCAGACAATTATTTTATTTCTCAAACCGTTTTTTGTTTTATTTTTTCAGTAACGGGTCAGTGGGCATCGACTTCATTGTAACGTTTAACGACACAACTGGCGTGCATGATATAAATTTACAGCAAGAATTTCTCAATGCACTTAATGTTACAAATAATGGCACATTTCTTGTGGATAGCAACCTTCAAGTGACCAATGAGACTGATCCGACATTTCAAGGTAGCTGAGCATGCAATCTTATGAAAAGCTTATTATACTATTGTCTGAAAAATGAATAGTACAGCCTTTGTTCCAATCTACTACATGGTTGTTTGAGGCCTGCAATAATCTTAAATTACTTACTTAACTAGAAACACATGCATGCAACAACCCCGCGCCTATATTTTCCAAACATTGTTTCAATATGAAGTATTCGTAATTACGCCAACACTGAACGCAAGCTCGCGTTGCACGTCATGTTAATCATGGCAACACGATAATTGTTTTTTAATTTTTTGTACAAACCTGCAAAAAATAGATGAAATTTGAACACTTTTGAATACAGAACTATCAATTTCTAAAGTATATAAAGTAGGTATATTATTTTGGTTTCTATGGGCTTTATTTTAATGTAAAATTCAAATCAAAACTCTACTAAAACGTTTTTAAATGTGAATTGAAATTAACTGCTTTTTGCCGACATTTGTAAACTCCTCAACTCGAGCTTCAACTTTAACTAAGACACTTTCGCGAACAATGCATAGGAAAGACTTGAACATCAAGAACAAAGTCTATATTAATACAAAGTCATGCATAAAGACAATTGTTTATAACAAACTTGCCCTATACTTTAGGATTTCTCATACTATCTCATAATATCAAAAAAGTTTAACAATTTGTTATGTGAAACGATTTTCCAAGCTTTCTTACATGTATTTTTTATATTTTTTGCCTTCTTCACTCCTGGCAAACAGTCATATTTTGAGATCAGTGATATGACCACCCACCGAAACAAGCACAGTGACCCACGCCCGCCGATCATTGATGAACTTTAGACCACTGCAGAACTATACAGGGTGTATCAAAAAAAACCGAACAGATTTAAAATTGCTCTCAATTTCGCAAAACAGCTATTTGTATCTGTTTTTTTATATATATAGCTTCTTTGGGTACTTATAATGTAAAATAATGAAAAAAATTTCTCGAACTCAAATTTTGTGAACCAGGGGGGTGCGTCTTTTCCAACAAACTAAAAATGGCTCGCGCACAAAATTTAAAAGCTGCAATCATATTTTGAGTTAACAAATGGAAAATATGTCGGGATTTTAATTACTGTACCAAATTTCAGACAATTTGGTTTAGTTTAAGCCCCTTAACTATTCACGCAAAGTTACAATTTTCCCGAAAAATCAGCTATTTGCATGCTTAATTAATGCATTTGCCTAATTTGCATATGTCAGCAATATGCAAATTAGATAAAGGCATTAATTAAGCATGCGAAAGGCTGACTTTTTAGAACAAAATGAATAGTTAAAGGGCTTAAACTAAACCAAATTGTCTGAAATTTTGTACAGTAATTAAAACCCCGACAAATTTTCAATCTATCAACTCAAAATATTATTACAGCTTTTAAATTTTGTGCGCGAGCCATTTTTAGTTTGTTGGAAAAGACACACCCCCTGGTTCACAAAATTTGAGATCGAGAAATTTTTTTCATTATTTTACATTATAAGTACCCAAAGAAGCTATATATATAAAAAACAGATACAAATAGGTGTTTTGCGAAATTGGGAGCAATTTCAAATCTGTTCAGTTTTTTTTGATACACCCTGTAAAGATATAGAGATATAGATATATATAGGTTATCATATAAGGGATGAGGTGATATCAGTTTTATCGCTCGAGGGATGATATCACAATTGTCACGAGCGAGCGAGGGACAATTGTGATATCGTCCCGAGAGCGATAAAACTGATATCACCGAATCCCGAGTACGATAACCTATTTATTATATACTTGTACCTTTATCAGGGTTTGATACCCAAAAGTAAACAGTTTTGATTTTTGAAAAAAATAGGATCATTTTAGAATTCAAAACAATGCATCATTTACTGAACAAATATGATTTTAGAAAATAAATAGACCATTCATATAAATAATATACAATTTAAGTCTTTCATTTTGTATTATCGTTCTTGTTTTCTTCGATAAACTCTCGACATCAGCCAACACGAACCTCGAATCGGCCATCTTTGTTTTGACAAGGCGCGAAATATAGCAGGACAAAAAACGATATCCGGGACAAAAAACGATATCCAGGACAAAAAACGATATCCGGGACGATATCGTTTTTACGTCCCGCTGCTTCCTACCTGATAAAGGTACAAGTATGTGATAAATAGATATATAGAGATATAGAGATATAGAGATATAGAGATATAGATATATAGAGATATAGATATATAGATATATAGAGATATAGATATATAGAGATATAGATATATAGAGATATAGATATAGATATATATATATAGATATATATATATATTTGACTTTTTTGTCAAAGCAATACTCCTTCATTTTCCAACTAAATTACGCATACAGCAAGTCATTTGAAAGGTAAATAAATGAACTTAACAATGGTGTAAAAACCAACCGAATTTGTCAAATATATTCTGCGTTATTACACGCTAAATTTGGATTCGAATTATTTTGATACACACTGTATATATATATATATATATATATAGATATAGATATATATATATAGATATATATATATATATATATATATATATATATATATATATATATATATATATATATATATATATATATATATATATATATATATATATATATATATATATATATAGTATATATATATATATATATATATATATATATATATATATATATAATATTAATGAGACCAAAGATGATCAAATTTTACAGTGTAGAAAGAGTGCTCAATACCATTTAATAACGTAGAGCAAATAATTTAATTTCTTAACTTAAAATATAGTCACAACTCTGAGTTTCACGCTCAATGCGATCTTCAGGCGACAATGTTTAAATCTCAATAAAAAATTCCTGTATGATTACGTGCGAGTTCGTTAGGCTACTTGCGTGATGGTATTGCGTGCGCACGTTCAAATTTTCCCGCCAAGAATTGTTTCCGGTGGCAACACTTCGAGAATAGCTCACATCTCCTGTTCAGTAATCTTTTCTTATCTCCTTTCAAAATTTCGAGTTTCTCTTGGAGGCATAGGTTGCAACCTTTTGCGCCGCTGCGATAAGATGATGCTTGCTTCAGAATGGACCACTTGATGTTGAATGTGCGTTTCTTGTTTTTCAAGTTCCAAATGTGTTTGGACAGCTCAGATACGAGCTATGTAAAATCCACTGAGCTGTCCAAACACATTTGGAACTTGAAAAACAAGAAACGCACATTCAACATCAAGTGGTCCATTCTGAAGCAAGCATCATCTTATCGCAGCGGCGCAAAAGGTTGCAACCTATGCCTCCAAGAGAAACTCGAAATTTTGAAAGGTGATAAGAAAAGATTACTGAACAGGAGATGTGAGCTTTTCTCGAAGTGTTGCCACCGGAAACAATTCTTGGCGGGAAAATTTGAACGTGCGCACGCAATACCATCACGCAAGTAGCCTAACGAACTCTCACGTAATCATACAGGAATTTTTATTGAGATTTAAACATTGTCGCCTGAAGATCGCATTGAGCGTGAAACTCAGAGTTGTGACTATATTTTAAGTTAAGAAATTAAATTATATATATATATATATATATATATATATATAGATATATATATATATATAGATATATAGATATATAGATATATAGATATATAGATATATAGATATATAGATATATAGATATAGATAGATATAGATAGATATATAGAGATATAGAGATATAGAGATATAGATATAGATATAGATAGATATAGATATAGATATAGATAGATATAGATATAGATATATAGAGATATATAGATATATAGAGATATATAGATATATAGATATATAGATATAGAGATATATA